TAAACAGCATAAATCTAACTACAGAAAGAGACAGAGTGGTGAGACACAGCAGCAGGGGAAGAGAATAATAAAAGAGGTAAAAGTGAGAGCAGCAAACAATGTCAGAGGCAGCAGATGGGAAGGAGCAAAAGAGGAAAGCAGGACAGAGAAAATGAGAGAGAGAGAGAGAGAGTCAGGGAGAGAAATGGGGACAAATGATGGCAGAGAGGAACTGAGACAGTGGACAACAGAACAAAGATCTGTGGTCTGGCACTCAGTGGCAACGATTCACCGAGTCCAACCATTTGTTATGAGAATAAAAGATGCCCAGTTCCTCCTTGCAGTCCACAGGAAAAAACAAAAAAACTAGATGTTGTACAAGCCCATTTACTGTAATATTTCATAAGTGTTTCTGAAAGTGTTTAAAACCTGTAGTGTAACATAATCTAAATGTAAAGACAAAGAAGCACATGTACATCTAAATCTGTGATTAAAAACAGTGCAATACTGTAGGCTTATCATTTGTTTTGCAGCAGAGGACTACATGGAATCGGCGGGAACTATATAGTAGGCCACTGACTGTGAACAAACAATGTTCTCTCAGAACCACACCACCACCACCACACACACCTAACTAAAACAAAAAGCCTGGAAATGTAAGCCCTAGATGAAGCCTTAGGTTTCACAGGCCATGAAATATTCATAATTCTAGATCTTTACATGCAACTCTAGAAGGAATTAGGCCTTCCAGCAGGAGACAGAGTCAGTTTCAGAACATCTAGCTTTCTCCTCCTTTCTACACACAGGGATGAATTCTTATGTTCCACCTTGGGTTTTCCCCTGTGGAGAGCAAGAGAGAGTATAGTGTGATGCAGTTTGTCGACACAGCCTTTTGAAAACCACACTTATTAAAAAACAGTTTTCATCTCTGAATCCCTCAAAGAAAAAACATGCCTGCAAATTCTACACAAACAACCCACGTGAAAGCTCCTAAATAGAGTTTTTAATTGCAACTTCTGTGCTTTCTGGAGGAAACCAAAATTAAGAACATGCACAGTACTGACAGAAAAGACAAGGTCCGCATGTTCACAGTCCAAGATAAAAATCTATTGAGGGAATGAACGAACATGCAAGGCCACTGGCAAGAGGGCAGAGAAGGGTCAGTAAAGTCCGCTCAGCAGCTAATAGAGTAACTGAAAGGAGAGAGATAAATATGGTATAAAAGGTGGGTGAATAGTCTATGAAATGTATGGGTGAGTAAGCAAGGATTTTTTTTTAAAGAAGGCAGAGAGGGTGAGGGAAATCTGCCATTCACTAGGCTGCTGCTAGCAGCAGGAGGGTCTTCCACATAAAACAACCCCAGACACAGTCAAAGGCCTCCTTTCACAGAGTCCGGTGAACGCCCGTCCAAGCACACACATATGCACACACAGAGGAGACAGACAGAATGCAGCATTGTTTGGCCGCAGAAATATCTTGCTGTGTGTGAGTGGATGTGTGTGTGGCAGTCAGTCAGCTTGTCAAGTCCTAGTGGAGTGATCAAAGCTGGTACAAACCACCCAGAGAGATCTCTCTCTTCCTCATCCATTCATCCTTTCCCTGTCTCACTTCTATCTTCCCCTCTCTCTCTCTGATACAGAAACAGCATCGAATTTACACATAAAACCTTCTCAGCCAATCGGACTGTACTGGCTGGAGTAATGCAGCCAATCAGGATGGCCTTTTTAGTTCCAATAATTCCCAGCTGTCCCCCTACAAGCACTGAACCCTGGATGGCTGCAACAGCACCATGGGACAGGATCAGAGCATAATGGGACACAGCATGGCAGCTCTGGCAATATCATAATGCCAAGTGTGCACAAACACATGGAGCAAAACGCCATGTGAGCTCTGCTGGAACATAGTTACAAAGCCAAGTTCACACACATGTACAAAATCACACAATCTCCCACCTTTAGATGGGTTGGCATACATGCGTGTGCACAGAAATACAGTACACACACTCTACAGGAGCTCTCCAAGAACACCCCCCAAGCTGCCAAGTTCAAGAAGACACACATACCTCACAGGAGCACTTTTAGTACATCTTTACACCTCTGCACCACCCGGTTCACACATATACACCTACACACCAACACCTACACAAACACGTATTTATCTCCAACTGTGTTGCTTCAAATCAAATGTGCAGTTCAAGAAGATTAACACATATAAATACATAGAAAATTACCCTACAACAGAAGTGTGTGTTACATTTACAGAAAAGTGTTCTTCTCCTGCGGGGCCAGAGAAGGCAGAAGCACACCAAATGTTTTACACTATCACCCTAAAGCAGCTACACTGTAGAGCCTGACTGTACCACATCTCAGTCATCATGATAAACAAGAGGACTTCTCAGACTTTGTAGAGTGATCTTGACACCCATTCATTCTGGATCAAATGTAAGGGAGCTTAGCTAATGGCTTTTTAATAGGCCCAAATGCTTCAGGGTGGGGCTTAGTTGGAAGGCTGACACTAGCACTAAAGCTGGAAAGAGGGGATCTCAACCAGCATTCGCCTCTCATTGTACGTACACATCCGTCCATCTGTATGTACTTTCTTCTAGAGTGTATCACAGATTACAGAATCAGCTTTATTGGCCAGGTGTGTCTGACACACAAACCTGAACTAAGTCCATTTGCAAGATACTGCAACTGTACACAAAATGGAGTTAAAAAATAATTCAATATTTGAGTGCCCTCATTGTTTACCATTATTAGATTTGAAGCCTCAGCAGTTCCAGCATCATTTCCACAAACACCCTGTTTACCATTAGTCATGACCTCAAAAACAAACTAGCTATTAAAACTTAACAAACCACATTATCCACAACAGAGTTCAACTGGAGGCAACAACTGCCACTCAGTGATGCATGAGCAGAAGTGAAGAGCAGAATAATTTTGTTAAACCCAATATTTGTATTTCCTACTGAAAGTCAAAATGCACACACACACACATACACACAAAAAGATGCAGGGTTTGTCATTTAAAGCAAGCCCTCTTCACCTGAACAGGTTGGGAATTAAATTCAGCCCTGATACACAAAGAGGATCGGCTATGTACACAAAGCAGCCCACTCCCCCACAGTTAGGTCAGTGTGTTTGTCCCATTCAATAGAACAATGAATGGAGTAACTCCTCACACACAAAGAACAAGTTGTTAGGAACAGAGAAATAAACAACACAACAGACGAACCCAAAGGAGAAGCCAGAAAAATATAAACTTTTAAAGTGGGAGCAGCATGAGTGGAAATCTGAACTTTTTAGGAGTGTGGAAAGATTGATGAATTTCATCTGCCTGAAACGCATGTTGTACTTTCCATTTATAAGATTTGTCATTCAAAAACAAACTGAGTTGCATATTGGTGGAAAGCTGCTCTTTGTCAGAGTTGGGTGAAAGCCTGCTCAAATTGTGTACCTAAATTGCCATGTATTGATTTAACAATAAACCAAGAGAATGGCCATAATGAATATCAGTGGGTGTTGCTGAAATGTTGTTCCCAAGGGCAATGAGAGAAAGGCGGCAGCAATATCATGTCCAATTATGTCCCAAAAAACCATAGGCCACTCAGTAATGATGATGCTAATTTACCGACTCTATTCTGTTGTAGACTGGGCAAGTTACTGCATACTTCTAGAGGCTTTCAAGTATAACATTAGTTGTATAATGGAGGGTAGAGACTGAAGCCTGAAAGGATATTATAATATTATACTTGAAAGGGGATGAAACCCATAATAAGTGGCTATGATGTGGTCAAATATAAGTTGGGCTGTTGAGGGCAAACGTGGTGAATTAATCAGCTTGGTAAAATAATAGAAGAGTTGGCCATTAATGTTTTGGATAAACATTAACAAGGTACAACTTCTCCCTCAGAAGGTCACAGAGTGGAAATGGAAGATGACTTTCCCTTCGGCGTTTCTGATGGGCAGCCTATTACAGCACGAATCTTACAGAGCTTTAATAAATAAATAGTCTTAATGGTAAAATGTTAAGCTGTTTATTCGGGCTTCCTCATTTATGACCTGTCACATCATCCACAAACACCAGTCGCTGTGTTGCTGCATGTCCCCCTTCAGAAACAGCACTTAAATATTTCTGTTGTGCTTCACATGGGGTGCGTAATACACAGCACCTTATCATTTTAAGTCCTTACGCATGTCAGCTCACTTTGGATTCCATCATCGGGTAATGATGGATGAATTTATAGTCCAAGTCTAGTCTAGTTCAAGCTGCAGCGTTTCATCTGCGGACCCCTTGATTAGTTGTGAGATCTGTGTAATTTCCTACACGCTTCGTCCGGCTCTGAGTGTTTGTGACTTCGGATCAATTTTCCAATCGGAGCAGTGAAGCGTCGCCTCTTTTGGCAAGTGCTCTGTAATCGTGGACTCCAACTCCTGCCCTTCACAGTTTTCACCTCAATTTAACCGCAGCAGACTTGAATTAACCATGTTCTATAGATACGAAACAATCCTGGCAAAAAAAGAATCACTGCATGTTCGATTCTGACAGTTACCAAGTCCCCGTGTGTTCCCTGGTAGTTGAAGCAGTCACATTTGTATTTTCAGGTTCTCAAAAGCGAGTCACCGCCACGTTTTCCCAGTCTTTCTTAATGAATCGCATAATTTTTCGGTCTTCCTAAATTATTCAGCCTCTGTCTTCTCTCGCAGGGAAACGCGGGCTGCGAGTTTTGCCTTTCAGTTTGTACAGCACGTTTCAACCAGGCAAGGGAATGTGCAGATATATTGGTTTGCACCTTAAGACGCTGACCGTAAACCATCCACTCATCAGCATCAGCTCACTTTAAATGGAAATAAATATGGGGAAAAGTATGTATATTCGGCAAGAACTACTTCTGCCCTTCCGCCTACTAACTGGCATGCCACCACTAACACGCAGCTGCATCTCGACAATGAAGAAGGTCCCTCGCTAATCATTAAGGTGAATGAAAAAGGTCTGAAAGAAGAAGCGCTCCCCAGCCTTACCCTGGGCGACTCCTGGGTGAAGGAACACCAGAAGAACCAAGATCCCCGGCGTGGCGCACATCCTCACCAAGCTGCAACCCCGGTGTCCTATTCCACTTCTCTGTCCACTTTTCCTCATTACAAACAACGCGTAAAACACATGAACACACAAAACTCCTCGGTCCACGGTGGGGGAAACAAGAACCCCCCCCCTCCACCAGAGGATCTGCTGTCCAAAACCAAAGGTGAGTAGGTGTGTAGCCTGTAGTCCCGATATCTAAGTCCGTCTCAAACGGCGCAGGTTAAGCTTTAGAGAGAGGTGGTGGTGGAAATAACCACGGGGTTTCTCACTCGTGTCAGCGGCACTGCTGCTTTGCCACTAAGCTCTGTTTTCTCTCCGTGCGCCCTCTCCTTCTTCACTCTCTCCGTTTACGCAGAGAGAGAGAAATGCCACCGCCCTCTGGCTACCATTCTAGACTCTCTCTTTCTCCCTCTCTCCTCTACTTCAGTCTCCCTCTCTTTCATACATTAAAATCACAAAAACAGAATGAAAATAAAATATCACTCAGAAATATCTGACTCTTACTGACATGTCTTAATAGGGATGTTTTTGTCTCTGTACGTTTTAGGATGAGGCGCATTCTCTCCCACACTCAGTGCCTATACCATACTCAAAGACCTCATCACACTTGAGACTTAAAGTCAGACAGATAATTTGCTTTCTTATTCTGGTGCATTTCTTTGATGTGGTTCTGACTGGTACTATGTATCTCTGTTTTTTCTAACTCTTTTCTATAGTTTGCACTTGTATAAGGTTGTGCAAATACATACAAATAAAATAGAACATAATGTCTTATTTGGTATGTTATTGTTGAGAATTTTAAGTTGCACTACAGTAATATTAAATGCTTTGCGTTTGCATTAGAAACTTATAGTTGCAAGTGGCACAATGTTTAAACATATAATACCATTTGTAATATATTCCATTGTCATTTGGTTCATCAAACTTGGATGGTGGTGAACATTTTTTTGTTTTTGTTTATCATTGGCCATTAAAAGAAAAAATAAAACAAGTCTGAAGTTTGACATCTTGCCCAGTGTCAGCTGGGATTGGCTCTTCAGTCACAAGTCAATCACTTTACACAACAGTTTGTTGAAGTTTATCAAGAGTAAATAGCTGACGATCAGATTTTCAAAGCATTCATTGTCACCACATCCAACTAATGCAGTAGTAGCCTGAGCCATGTTTACTGTGAATGGCTGACGATCAGATTTTCAAAGCAAATAAGACTTGACTGTCTATTTTAGAAGATTACCTCCTTCATTGTCACCACATCCAACTAATCCAGTAGTAGCCTGAGCCATGTTTACTGTGATGGTTCTAACATTTCTGCATTGATGTCAACATTCATGTGTCAATACATTAAAACGTCTGTTTGTACATCAGCTTTGCAAAAGTGCAATCAGACCTGCTATACATCTTTTTTTGTTTGTCTTTTTTTCCACTACTGTATTTAAACAGGGTCAACTTGTCTGAAAAAACTGACCGATGAGCAACCTCAAACCAAGTTCAATCCATATTTGTATACAGAATGTCTTTGCAGCTAACATGCTGTAAGTCTCAACAGTGTTGCTGCACAGTCATTTGAGCAGCACAGCCAGGATCATGCATTGTAAGTGACAATAGTAAAATATGCATTTGGTGTCATTTGTCAGCACAGCAGCCCCACAGCTTAGTGACTACTACTGGAGGTAGCTGCTTCCCGCAGGGACCTGTAAAAGCCTTTTTATTCTGCCACTTCACTGGGAATGGGAAAGCAATATGTTACATCAGAAACATACAGCAGACTGGGATACGTACTGTATCAGCACTTAGGCTAGCAATAGTTAATGGCAATATTGTAGGATTTTCACAGTTCCATGTGGTAGTACAATGCAGAGTACGTTCACAAAGTATTCAGACCCCTTCACTTTTTTGCTGTAGATATAATTTTAAATTGTTAAAATTGCCATGATGCCCATTTACACTCAATAACCTATGACAAAATTTCAGTAACAAAATGAGTTGCGTAGACATGCAGTAATTTAGAGGGAAGGGCACACAACTGTGTGTATAAGGTCCCACAGCTCACACTGAAGGTCAGAACCAAAACCAAGCCATGAAGTCCAAAAAATTCTCTGTAGACCTCTTTAATAAAATTCTGGGGCAAGTCACAGATCAGGGAAAGGTTATAAAACCATTTATAAAACTGAGTGCTCCCAGGAGCACAGTGGCCTCATCTCTGTTCACCTAGATCAGTTGATTTGATTAAAAAAGAGGCCAGTGATAACTTAAAACAATTTAAATAATTGATATTGGGAAAACTAAAATGTTTGCCTGAAATTAACTTGAATACTAATAGATAGGAAGTACTGCAACAGTTTAAGTTCAGCAAACTTAAATAAATGTGATTTTAACTGGTTTTTAACAAGCTTCAGGTCTGGTCCACATTCTACACACAAGTGCATGATTTTGGAAAAGCAGACAGTCCACTGTGGCAGAGATTTAAAATTTTGAATGTGAACCTGGTTCCTCCTCCTCACTTTTCACAGTTCAGATAGTTATTTCCACTACTGTGAATTGGAAATGTGCATACTGAATAACTCCTCCACTTAGGCTGAAAGAATAGATTGTGGTGTATGTGGGTGTGTGCTACCCTGTGTGCATCACATTCCATGAGCTCTACTTAACTAACCCCAGAGGAGTTTGTCACACTGTATTCATCCCCTTTATTCTTTGAATGTGAGAATCATCAAAGACAATCCAACATCACGTTATTCATGTTTATTATCATGACAGTGATAGAGTGTCTATGAAGTTGAACAAATTCTCCCATTGCTTGCCTTTGTGCATCAAAGACAGCAATAATGAGAGGCAGGGAAAGAAGGCCATGTAGAAGAAGACAGCAGAGGACGTCACCACCTTGAGGGTGAAAGAAAACAGCCCTAATTTGAAAATGGGCTTTTGTTCTATTTTTAGATCAGTGATATACAGTTTTCAGTGATAACAGTGTACAACTTTACTATTTATGCCTTACAGTTATTTTCAGTATAGAAATAGGCTTTAAGAGGAATAGTTTTAAAGGGAATAGTTCCATGTTTTAATTGTTTTCTTTCTGACCATTAGATGAGAAGATCAATACCACTCTCATATGTGGCCGGGCGCAGTGACTCCCAGGAGGCTTGTTGTCACCGTGTGGTTGCTAGACAGCTAGTGTAGACTACAGGACAGTCCCTGTAAATACCACCGTTTGTGTGTGTGTGTGTTCGTGTGCTTGGGGGTTGTTTTGCTTTTTTTTCCCATTTCTATAACATGTTGCCCAGAAATGGTCTGGTAGGCAGACTGTTACCTTTAGACAGAGCCTGCCAGTTCTCCTGTTTCCAGTCTTAATGCTAAGCTAAGCTAGCTAGTCATGAAAATAATATGAATCTTCTCCTGTAACTGTTGACACCAATCAAACCTAAGCTGCATGTCTTTGGACTGTGGGAGGCTCTGCACAGGAAGGGAACCTGGAACCTTCTTTTTGTGAGGCAACAGCACTAACCTCTGTGCCACCCAAAATATCTAACCATTTCTTTAAATTGGTTCAAAGATGCAGTATATTGTTTCATATACTTATTTACTTCAAAAGGGTCACAGAATTGCAGAAAAGTAAAACATCAATTAAATAATTAGGCTATATACAGTAAGTCGTGGCCAAAACCAGAACTGTTTAAATGGTCCATATGCTTGTTGGGTCATAGACCAGCATTTCTCACACTGGAAAAGTGGGGCTGTGTCAGACCCTTTGTGTAACTGTCTGAAACTGACAACTTCAAATCATGCAGCAATTGTCCAAGTGTGCAGGTTTGTAGTAGAAAGTAAGCTGGATTTGAAATTTTTTTCTCTAGCTCTGTCATTTTCAGTTTTTACAGAATTACTACTGACACTTTTGGTGTGTAGCTTAGTGCAACACCATGAAAGCTTTTTAGGAAATCATGTTTAAAAATGCTATTATTCTGGAGCATTCATTGGAGTCTTTGACCAACAACCGTAAAAGCCAATAACTCCTGTCCTTCACTGACAGAAAGTAACAAATGCTTTCCTCAGAATACAGTTGTCTTTATATAATCTCTCATATTCACACCCCCACATTACAAAGCAAAAGTTTAGGAAATTTTTCACTCACACAAAAGATTTTAAAAAAGTAGCAAAAACAATGAGCAAAACAATTGTGCGTCTCATATTCACACCCCCACGTTACAAAGCAAAAGTCTAGGAAATTTTTCACTCACACAAAAAATTTTTAAAAAGTTGCAAAAACAATGAGCAAAACAATTGTGCACTGAGGTGTGAGATGCTGAAGCAATATCACTTGGAGATATTACTGTAAGTATACTATTATCCCGTTTGCCTAAGGGTCTGAGATTGTTGGTACATTAATGTATAATGAAACAGATTCTACATATCAAGAGAAACAAATCTGAAGCCATACTTTCATATATGCAGGAGGTGGAGGTGTTTTTGTGAGAACCCTTTATTTAAAATAGGAGCCTATCACGTTCTGGTTTCCAGCTCACTAACCAAAGACTGAAGGAGACACTCAGTTCCTTGGAAAGTTAAACTTGCAACAAGCTCACCAGACTATTACTAAACTTGCACCTCTATTAGCATTAGTCTCCTTTTGCTCTTCTATACATGTAAGAATAACTAACATGCCTTCCAGTGTGCCGTCGCCTGCTATCTGTATTGTATGATACAATAGAGAGCAGGCCCCAACGGGGGTGACTAGGTTTAATCTCTTTAAGCAGTTACATAATGGCCCCCAGTTCACGTTTTAATCAGCGAATAGATGGCTGCGCCCAGGGACGAATAATCACATCTATAACTTTCTTATCTAATATCCAGCTACATTCAAGTGGATTAGAGTGGAGCAGCAAGAGAAAGGGGGGGGGCATAGGTGGTACACCTAGATGCAAGCAAGTGTTTGGAGGATTTATGGTTGTTATTTTGGAATAGAGAAAATGAGACTTGTATTTCTATTCTGATTTTGCACATGTGCAGGCACATTCACGTATGTGTATCCCCTACCATGTATTGCGATACCCTCTGTCCACAATATCAATTCTTTCAGATCACTTTTGATTTCAGTCATTTGGCAGGTTGTTTGGTGATGAGTACTGACAATCTCATTCCCCAGATGGCTCTGCGTGACCTGCAACTGTGTGCCATACACTGGGCAGCGGCATCATGGGAACAAAAGTGTATCAAGACATTTATCCAGACAGACAGATGGATGGATAGCCAGACAGGCAAGGGGAGAAAGTATCAGACTTATCAAATTGAATTGTTTCCTGACACACGCGCACACGCACATGTAAGCACTGACTCACATCAGAGGATTTAGCAGGAAAAACAAAATGCTTTGGCTACAATAAATTAAATTGAAA